TTATGTGAAGCATGTGCTGGACAGCATGGTCTTGAATGAAGCCAGTTTTGGTTTGATTTGTCTGGTTCTTTGTTGCCTGTTACGTGGTAGAAATTCTCTCAGGAATAAACTGTGGAAAGGTTGGAATTTAAGTAATTCCCCACAATTAATCTGAAAATAACTAAAAATTTGATTGCATATAGATGTAAAACCCAACACATGTGGCATTGTGACGTAAGTTGTGCATGCGCAATCAGAAATTGAGCAGTTACAGGCAAAGGTTCTCTCTTTTCTCTCACTGAGCAGAGAGAGAAGGGAATCTTTGTTTCACAGGGTAAAGTCAGTTAAAAGGTCATTAAAAGATGATTTTGATGATGAGGTTTTGTTTCTGTTTTGACAGGTATTGGATATGCAAGTGTTGTCATAGTGCAGTTCCTAAACATTTATTATATTGTCATCCTTGGCTGGGCTTTGTTCTATATGTTTGCATCATTTACTTCCAAACTGCCGTGGTCTCACTGTAACAATCCCTGGAATACACCACAGTGTGTTGATTTAACTGGGGCTGGCCCAAGCTCTTCAGGAAATGGACAAAATGGCTCTGGAATGGGAGTATTGAATGATACACTCAATGGCACTCTTTCACCTCTTCTTGAAAAAGTATCGTCCAGCCAAGAATATCTAGAGTATGTCAGCACCAGTCAATTTTTCTAATACATGTATTTTGTCCATAACATAACATTAATTCCCTACATTTGATATCTGTAGTTAATGTAAGACACAGGGCATGCTGTTCTACTAATTTTCTGCCATTGAATGTTGTTAAGTTCACCTGACTTGTTTGGATTTTAAATAGCAATAATGTCTAATTTACATTTTAAATCATAATAATTGGGCTCAGATCCTTTCAGCACTGGATTTAAAGTTTGAACTAGTTCCAAATACAGGTTTTGGGCTTTGATTTTCTGTATCAGTATCTTTGATATCACCATCTCATTTCCTTGTCATGCCAGATTTTTAATATACCGTAAATCCTCGAATTAGCGCCTGGGGCACTTATTTCAAATTTAGGAGAAGATGGGGGGCGCTTATTCGAGGGGGGCGCTTAATCGAGGGGGATGTTTATTTAATTTTCCCAAATTGTGCCTTGACATGATCATTTTTTTAATGCATCATCTACACATAAACAACAACATAACCTGTTTATCGACATAAAAAGCTGATCCTAAAGTTTAAATCGCAGCACCATTAGAAGTTCACGAGGTCACAAATTGAAACAATGTACAAATCTAATACTGTACGATGAAAACTATGCATTCTTTGCTGTCTCATTACTCGTCCACAAAATAGGGGGAGGGGAGGGGGCGCTAATTTTAAATTTTGGCCGATAGGAGGGATGCTTATTCAAAGGAGGTACTTATTGGAGAGGGGGGGGCGCTAATTCAAGGATTTACGGTATTAATTAACCAATTAATTTGGTTGAGATTGACAAAAATTTCATCTCACCTTTGTTACTTTTTACAATTTGCCCAGGCGTCGAGTTTTACGAATCAGTGGTGGTTTAGATGAACCAGGAACAGTCAATTGGGACCTTGCGTTATGTCTGTTACTTGGCTGGATAATCTGTTATCTTTGTGTGTGGAAAGGTGTTAAATCTACTGGCAGAGTGAGTTACTACATGATATTAACTAAAGATAATTATGGTTTGGCCTGCACTAGTGTTGCATAAAAGTAATTTTGATGCATTTTAGTTGACAAAAATTGTCAATGTTATTATTTTGTTTTTTGAGCGTTGTTTTTGTTGCATGGGTATGTGAGTTGTTTTGTAAGAGGTAATTTATTTTGGGATCGATCTTAAGTTAATTTTTTTGTGGATGGTGAATTTATTGAGAAGGAGATGAAGGAAGTGGAAATGAGTTTATTTGTTCCAGACACCAGATCTGATGGGAAAATGAATAAGGAAAGCCAATTTTTTTTTTATCAAATATGGAGCCAGCCCTCAAAGGCAGCACACGATGATTGGTCCCAAAGGAGATCTACTGTGAACTGTGAACTTCTTTGTTTGAAAACAACCAATAATGATGATGATGATGATGATTTTTTTTTGATTTGTGATACAAGGTATATTGTTGTTAGAAGTATGTTTGGATCTTTATGTATAGTTTTTGAGTTAATGTGTTTTTTTTAATTCATCTGCCTGGAAATAAGGGCATCATGTTGACTGAGCAAACTGGCTTGATTCCATCCTAGGTGGTGTATTTTACAGCCACTTTCCCATATGTGTTGCTGACAATAATCATGTTTCGTGCAGTGACACTTCCTGGAGCAGCTGAAGGAATCAAGTTTTATCTCAATCCAAATTTCACACGTCTAGCTGATGGTCAGGTAGAACAGCATTTCATGAAATATGATCCCATGTCAGCCAATTAGTCTTCTGATTTCATTATAATTGGGAGGAAAAGTTACAGAAACAATTTAGCCAAGTCACACATGAATCTTGACCCAATCTTGAAAGTCATTGAAGGTAGAGGTATTTATAAAGGAATCATGATTTACACAATATACATGAATGCATGTCTCTCTTGTAAATTTGTTATTTTGTCCCTTTTTGACAAGTACTTTTATCAACCTTGACAGGGATGCTGAGGATGGCATCTTTAATTAAGTCACATTTTAGGGCTGTCTATAATATTTTCTCACACATGAGTCACAGCAATTGATACAATACCTTTATTGGCCCTTCCCTGGTGGGGATTTTCAGTCACAATACAAATAAAACAAAAAAGGAAATCCTGACATATTTTTAATTAAAATAAGCATTATATTAAGCACATGTATGCATTCTTTATCACATCCGAACACCAAGAAAAATTAAAACATGGGCCTGCGTGATTTTGTTATGAGGTGTTTGGAACTGTGACCAAACATTCTCTAGATGATTTGGGATTGCTATGTATATTCATAACTGAAGCAGGGAATTTATCAAGTAATACCGAATAACTCAGGTCAGATATCCGAGCCACCTTCACAATTATGATTTTCTTTATTATAACTTCCTTCAACAATCACGATTGTACAGACAGACCTTTCTCTTCCAAACTTGGCTGCAAATTATCCAAGGGACAACAAAGATCTTTAATTTGGAGGAAGAAGAGAAAGTGCATGTGTAATTATGCTATTTGCTGTACATGCAGGTTTGGCTGGATGCTGGAACTCAAGTGTTTTTTTCTTATTCTATTGGTCTTGGTACTCTTATTGCACTGGGAAGCTACAACAAGTTTAAAACAAACTGTTACAGGTGAGTGGCGCAAGTAAATGACCTTGCCAAAAATGGTATGTACTCTAACTCAGTTTCAATTCATGGATAATTTGCAACATGGATATAGGTACACTCCTGAATTTTGTTGTTCAAGTAGATATCTGTACCCCTGCCACAAAGGTTGTTTTGGCTTGAACCACCCCCCCCCCCCCCCTCCTAAAAAAAAGAAAACTCTCTCTGGAAATTCTCATTGTAACTGATACTTTCCTTTTAAAATTTCAATTAGCTTTTTATAAATACATCCCCCTTCTCCCCCTTGGAATTTCCAGTAACCCACCTTGGGATGGACATAGATATCTTCTGGAACCATGCATTGAGCACTTAAATAGTTAAGAGATATGTGGAATTATAATCCATCAAATATTTTCGCTCGTGCGTGATTGGTCTAAACACGTCACATGACCGAATATTCTCCAGCTAAAACTGGTGAATATCTGAGAATATTCCCCAATTAGTAAGAGTAAAAGTAAGAGTAAGGGTATGGCTTATGTGATAGCTCACATCACAGTTATATAACCAATAGCCTACATTTGGGATGAAAATATGCTCGGATATTTGTCCTAGGACATTATATGTTCCTCAAAACTCACACTCAGTTTTCCTTGAGCTATGCTCTTGGAAAACTGTTCGCTTTTCAGAACAGATAATAGATCAGAACAGATGTGCTAGCATATTTTCACGCCAAATGGAGGCTATTGTTTATATAACTGTGAAGTGAGCTATCACATAAGCCATACTCTTACTCTTACTCATTCTCCCTTATCCAGCTAATATCACAAATTATGACAAAAAAGCACCTTGAACAAGCTGTACACTGATGAAACATCATGCAACATTGTAACATTGTTTATTTGTCTAGATCAACAAGGGAAATGCTTGACACTGTCCTGTTTACAGTGCGAAAATCTGTGTCATTGTAACCTTACAATGTAATTCAAGAGTGTTCATAATGTTCGATCCTACGTAATTGCTTTTTCCATGAGTTCCTTTACAAAATGACAGTCTGGTTAGTGTTCCTTTGACCATACACAAGTGAAATAACAACGTAATCAAAGAAAATGTGCAGTGCCGAGGTTTGACCTAAACTGGAAAGAACCTTGGTCAAATCACATGTCCTAAATCCGCGGGTGGTCTGATTACACAAGACAAACAACAAATGAAACTAGCATTTACAACATGTTTTATTAATTAACTAAAGGTAATGTTGTGTTTATTGTGTTATATTAGGGACTGCATCATATTTGCTTGTGTAAATAGTGGAACTAGTTTATATGGAGGATTTGTCATTTTTTCCGTGCTGGGATTCATGGCACTGAAACAGGGTGTACCAGTGGAGAAGGTGGCCGAGTCAGGTAAGGTGCATAAACTAGGCTGAGTTCCAGTGAAGATGGAAAAACACTTGCTTGTGCTTAAGACTATAGCTAAGAGGCATCCTTTTTTCCCAAAAATGTCCGCAGGCATTTATTTTTTATCCCCACAATTGCAGCTGCACTCGCACTTTGGAATCACTTGCAGTCACACAAAGAAAATACTTGCAGGAAAAAATGTATGTGGACAGACTTGTATTTCCTGATCTTCTCTCCTCTATATTGCGGTCTCCCTGATAGATTCAAGTCCCACATCATGGGGTATATATGGAAACAAACCTATAACATAAATAGTTACTTTATAGCACCCTCCAGAAGTTTATCCACATTTTTGAGCTCGAGCTGCTTGTTAAGAAATCACTGGTATATTCATAAGTCTGAAGAAGGAACTATAGAGATCAATGACTTAAGGTGTTGGCTGACAAATTTTAAATCATCTCTATCAGAGTTATAGACAAGTTGATAATATGAGCCAGTGGTTCTATTTCAAATCAAATAGTTCATTCTAGAATGTCACAACTATATAATTTTTGTTGTTATCACATACGTTATCAGGTCCTGGTTTAGCATTTGTTGCATACCCTGCAGCCGTAGCAGAGATGCCAGTTGCTCCTCTGTGGTCCATATTGTTCTTCTTCATGGTGATCCTATTAGGACTTGACAGTGAGGTGAGTCTTTCTTTCATGTCAGTCATGCTGCAAGTGTGCCCAAGACACACAAAATGTTGTTGTCGCAAATAATGAACTGGAGGAGGACAATCCAGCATGAATTTTAAGATAGGAAAGAGACAGAGAGAGAAACTCTGGCCATACAGAAAAACAGCAGTGACACCATTGGTACTGGTCAGCATAGATCAAAGTGTGCATCAACACTAATCCAGGTCATCTACAGTGGTTGCGTCAGCCTCCTCATGTGTTGTAGTATCATGTTACTCTCACAGACAAAATTGACCTTCCCAGTTTTCAGGCACATTCAACACTATTCTCTCTGAAGAGTTCATAATTATCTCATGGACAAAATAACCTGGGAACTAGATAGTTTTTCTCACCCATGCGACACATAGATAATGAAGGTTGACACTATGCTGTGCATGGAAATCCTTAACTTGGGCATCCAGGATTTGTACAAAATGGTCTTAAAATCAAATTTATAACCTCAAAATAATGCTTTGAAACAAAAGAAAAATACAAGAAATAAAACTGAAAACCAAGGACAGATACCAGATACACTTAAACATATTAAATTAATTTGCTTGTCTTGCATGTTTTTGTTTTAATTTTTTTTTTTACAGTTCGTTGGAGTGGAGGGTTTTGTAACAGCCATTGTTGACCTGTTTCCTCAACATTTGAGGCGTGGTCACCGCAAGGAGATTTTCATTGGTGTTTGCTCCATTTTCTGGTTTTTGTTGGGACTTTCTATGGTTACTGAGGTAATTAAGTTACACCATTGTAAGTATTTAGATGTCCTTTATAGACAAGATTGTATTTAATACATGACAAATACATGTACTGGCTCACAGTGCAAGCGTACTAACTGACGAGGACTTCCCATAACAATTCGATTTAGCACCTGGCACTCTTATTTACTTTTGATACCTCAAGGGAGGGTTCTTATTCGAGACAGGGTGCTTATTTCTTTTTTGAGAAACAACCAAATGTTCAAAACAAAACTTTATTAGTAGTACAGTATTTATGAAAAAAGGAACAATAACAGAAATTGCAACAGTAACAAATATACTGAATGTTCAATTAACGTTTGAAGGAATTATGCACTTGCATGGGCATAATAATAGAACATTTTACAGTTGTCTACTCAGTGACCTGGCCTTTGGATGGCAGCGAGGCTGGAGTTGACCTTGTTTTGATACAGACCTCACTCAGCTTTTGTCATGTAAATACACCTAGTTAGCATAAGAACAACTTGTTTACACAACAAAAGCAGTGAGGTTTGTATCACTCCAGTCCACTCCAGCCTCGCTGCCATCCAAAGGCCACTGGTCACTGAGCAGACAACTGTAAAATGGTCTATTGAGAAACTCAGAGGGAGACCACTGTTTCTGTGATTTGGCATTACATATGTGAGCAATTAAGGATGGTAAGCTTCTGATGATACGTACTCTGAGGGCGCTTATTTTAAATTTTGGCTGATAGGAGGGGCGCTTATTCGAAGGTGGTGCTTATTTGAGGGGAGGCGCTAATTTGGGGATTTACGGTTTTGACAGAATATTTTCAAGAATAGAGCATGTCATTGAGGGAATTTATATTTTGTGAAACAACAGCAACATCACAATGAATCAAAAAGGACTGTTTTGAAAAAAATTGGTTTGAATGAGGAGGATTCCTTGTGCAATGGAAAATTGATCATACTTGTCTCCTCTATCATTGTTAGTAATATATATTGTAAGTTAAACTGTATTTTATGTACTTCATGTTAGAGGTTTCTTGTGCATGCAGGCAAATGAAAGAGTATTTTCTCAAGTTAATAAGTATTTAAAAAGCTTAACTGAAATGAAGTGACCTTCACTAGTATATTAGATCTGTCGAGTTATATTAGCAAACTTTTTTTTTCTTTTAGCCTGAAAAAAATTGAAAGGCTACAATGGGATTCAAACCCATGATCTCAATGATACCAGTTCCTTGCTCTACCAGACAAACCTTGAAGTCTTGATTTCAGCCATGTATGTAGGATTGTGAATGTCTTTAGAAAGCAGAATGGTAATTAAGGCTTAAACAATCTCAACAAGTAAACTCACAAATGCACTGTTTATACTGTAGAAAACTACAGCATTATACAACATGGCCTATGAATGACATCGGTTATAGTTGTGATTAATAACTACTTAATAACTGAGAGTGTGGTCATTACGGGAAAATCTCAAACTGAGGCCTTACCGTATTGACCGAGCGATAGTGAGGTCAATATGGTAGGCTGAGGTTCGCGATTTTTCCATAATGACCAAACGGTCAAGTTTATCAAGTTGTTAATTATATGGCATATGAATTAAAGAAAGAAAAAAAATTATTCGAGCTGAAGTTGTCAATTTACATCTGCCGAGGTGCGCATTTACCGATTCTTTCATCGTCTCAAACCCAGGGCAAAACTACACAGTCAGTGAACTTCACTGTATTATGTATTTCGTTAAAAAGACACATTTCTTTACAGGAAAAATGATTGTCACAGTTTCGAAAAGGTATTTTAGTATCATGGTGCCACAACTTGATGGGAGAGTTTTTCTGACTTTTGTGGTGAAACATCAACACATATAGAAAAGACAAAAAGTGCTTCAAAATAGTCCAAACCGTTACGGTCTTTCGGTGAAAGAAAATATGAATGCCTCAGAATGTACTCTCAGAATAACTTGATCTTCACATTTGTTTTCGACAACATATCTTTGCCTTCTTCATTCTGGGATTTATGGATGAACATTTCAAGCCTTGAGAATGTCTAAAACTTCCTACAATTATCAGAAACACTGCTACCAACAGAAACAGCCAGATTGTTTACATCTGATGATCCTGGAAGCTGATTCACACTTGCTTGTTGGGGAGGAATCTGTTTGATGAGAACTGTGATGGAGTTCAATATTTCAGTAATTGTTGTGACTAAGACGATAACTTATAAGTGACCTGGTCCCTCTAAATGACGCCAAACACTGACAATCCGGTTACTATAGTGAACAGCAATAGTGCACATCTGATGGCAGGTGGTCAGATATTGCTGCAAGTCCCAGGAAACTATTTTGGGACACCACTAAGAGGCACTGTAGGTGACCTAGACAGATCTTTTATGCCAGCTAGAGGAAAGCACCTGTAATGACCGATAAAGTCCTAGTGTAGAGCTGATAGGCTGTGGTGGATCAGTGGCCTGTGGCTTGTATCAGATGATCTGGAACTCCAATGCAAGTAGGTGGCAGTGGTGGCAGCCTTGATGCGGAAGCTGTGGCTGGAGAAGGTTCTGGTTAAGGAGAACCTCTGATCCCCAAGATAACCTTAAGGGCCAACAGTTTGATAACTATAGTGTATAGCAACAGCACACACCTGAGAAGAGGCAGGTGGCCAGATATTACTGCAAGTCCTGGGAAACTTCCTATGGAAGCAGGAAGTAACCANATATGGCATATGAATTAAAGAAAGAAAAAAAGTTATTTGAGTGGAAGTCATCAATTTACATCTGCCGATGTGCGCATTTACCGATTCATTCATCTTCTCAAACCCAGGGCAAAACTACACAGTCAGTGAACTTCACCACTGTGTTACGTATTCCGTTAAAAACACACATTTCTTAACAGGAAAAATGATTGTCACAGTCTCGAAAAGGTATTTTAGTATCGTGGTGCCACAACTTGATGGGAGAGTTTTTCCGACTTTTGTGGTGAAACATCAACACATAGATAAGACAGAAAGTGCTTCAAAATAGTCCAAACCAATGGTCTTTGGGTGAAAGAAAATACTAATGCCTCAGAATGTACTGCTCAGAATGACTTGATCTTCACATTTGTTTTCAACAAGTGAACATATCTTTGCCTTCTTCATTCTGGGATTTATGGATGAACTTTTCAAGCCTTGAGAATGTCTAAAACTTCCTGCAATTATCAGAAGCGCTGCTACTGACAGAAACTGCCCAATTGTTTACATCTGATGATCCTGGAAGCTGATTTACACTTGCTTGTGTTAAAGGGAAGGAATCTGTTTGATGAGAACTGTGATGGAGTTCAATATTTATAAGTGACCTGGTCCCTCTAAATGATGCCAAACACTGACAATCTGGTTACTATAGTGAATAGCAATAGTGCACACCTGATGGCAGATGGTCAGATATTGCTGCAAGTCCCAGGAAACTATTTTGGGACACCACTAAGAGGCACTGTAGGTGACCTGGACAGATCTTTTATACCAGCTAGAGGAAAGCTCCTCTAATGACTGATAAAGTCCTGGTGTAGAGCTGATAGGCAGCGGTGGATCAGTGGCCTGTGGCTTGTATCAGATGATCTGGAACTGCAATGCAAGTAGGTGGCAGTGGTGGCAGCCTTGGTGCAGAAGCTGTGGCTGGAGAAGTTTCTGGTTAAGGAGAACCTCTGATCCTCAAGATATCCTTAAGTGCCGATAGTCTGATAACTCTAGTGTATAGCAACTGCACACACCTGAGAAGAGGCAGGTGGCCAGATATTACTGCAAGTCCTGAGAAACTTCCTATGGAAGCAGGAAGTAACCATGCACTTATACTTGAGGTATCGTGAGTGACCAGGACAAATCCTTTATGTCCGCTTTGTGGAGAGTGCTGCTAACAATTCTGATGGAGTCCTGTTATGTTGAACTAATAGGCATTGCTAGACGAGCAGCCNATCCACAGTAATTTAGTGAAGGGTTAACTCATCCAGGTTGATCCCATCACTGACACTAGCACCTCCTAGGGACGAAAAGGTACACTTGCCTCTGGTTGGCCCCTTTTGGGAATAACACTGAAGCTGCTAACTTAGAGATTTGGATGGGGGGAATTAAAGTGGGTTGCTACCCTGCCTAAGGAGACCTCATCGGCCAGATACTTGTCTATAACTGATGGACGCTGTGCAGTGGATGGCTTGTTCTCCTTAGCAGACTTGAGCGTTTGAGATGGGCAGAAGCCTATTTAAACCAACGATGCAGTCCATCCAGCATGAAGTTAACCTGCTGCTGATTGGGATGGTTGGGTACCTAGTACCTAGTACCCACCATTTAATTTGCAAGTATCCATTTACACATCTGGGTCAAGAGAGGCAATGACCTCGAGTTGCTCAGCCAGCCAGCCCACAAACCATTATGTAGTACTTCTACTCTACTGAGTGAAGTTTGATACTCATACAAACTTACTGTCAGCCAGAAGATCTAACTGAAGGTAATTTGAATTCAAATTTCTGGTGAGTAACATTTGTTTGTTTTCATTTCAGGGTGGAATGTATGTGTTCCAATTGTTTGATTTCTATTCTGCCAGTGGTAGTGCACTGTTGTGGGTCTCACTCTTTCAAAGCATTGCTATTGGCTGGATCTACGGTAAGCGAAGCATTCATCATCAGAACTTATTTTACAAGATGTCAGCCCAAAACCATGGACTCCTTAGAAACCAGAATTTTTATTTCCACTTTTAGGAAATTATATTATTATATAATTATATCTTATAATTTGTTAAGAGCAGAACTTCCAGAATTATCAACACTGTCACCACTGATCTTCAATTTTTTGGCCAAATGGTAAATGTTCAAAGGTCTAATAAACAGGTAATAATGAAAGCTGCTCTCTGTGCAAGGGAAAGTAAGCAGAATGTTGCTCCACTCTTGGATGAGAACCTGTGAAAAACCTGTGAAAAGCCTAACAAATAACATGTGACACAGAAACACCCTGTGAAAAAACCTTCGTAAAACCTTTGAAAAAACACATGAAAATTAGGATTTCACAGGTTTTTTCACANATGTTTACATTCAATTCTTCTACCGGAAGTCACTATTGAGAGCCGATCGAGTACACTAAAATCGTTTGAATTATCCCGTAAATTGGGAGTCCACAATCTTCTTCATTCATTTAAGGTCAGTAATCATCATATACTTGTCATTTGTTCTGCTAATAACCGGAAAAAATTGGTAGTTTCACAGGTAAACTGTATTTCAGCCATTTACATAGCATGTCGAAAGATGGAATGTCGAGAGATAGTTGAAAGATATTGCTTGTGCACGTAACACTGATCATGAAAGCGGGTGTAATAATATTATTCTACAGCCTTAGAATGTTTACTAGTTTGTACACCATTTTGACCTATATCATATGATTATGTATCAGATAAAATGTGTTCGACAAATTAAAAGAAACTGACAATCTTGAAAGAGTATTATAGTATATACAAATTATGTGACACTTCACAACCAAAATTGGGCTGTTTTCATCCCACCTGGCGGCTATTGCAGACTCTCAATATAACAGACAGCAAATGGCAGTCCCAAGGATGGTGTCTGCTATAATGAGAGTAGACAGGAGTGGGGATTGCTTGGTAACCAAGCTTAAGGTAGCAGCGATAAACTGTACAATTGTTCTTCAGCCCATGTTGATATCTTATTATGTGCCATTTATTTTTAGGTGGAGAACGTTTCTATGATAACATGGCTTCTATGATTGGATTTCGAATCAATCCTTGGATCAGGATATGCTGGAAATATTTGACACCTTTGTTTTGTGTGGTCAGTAGTTATAATTATAGTAATCATCACAAAGTTTAACTTCTAGATTTATATGTAGTTTTGTTGCTGCAGTTGAACTGGATTTTTTTGTTATAAGAACTCTTCAAGGTTGTGGCACAGTGTTCCAATGTTGTTTCCAAAGGAATTATTTTAGTGCTACCCTTGTTAAAGGGATGGTTTCACAGCTTGGTGCAAGCTG